TAAACAAAATCTATCAGTTCATTTGGCCATGTATTGATGGATGTTCATCGAAATCCCTTTAAATAGCTCTTCGTATGAAATCTATCAATACATTAGAGCCATGTATCGATAGATTTGGTTCTAGAGGGATTTTATCAATACATTTGGGCAATGTATTGCTATGTTTGCTTCAGTATGCAAAAACAGGCTTGACAACTTATCTAATTTCTATACTAGACTTTTCAAATCATCATAATACATCAAAACATGAACTTTTCTAAAGTTAAAAACTTAGATTAATGTTTCAAAACAAGAAATGCATGCTCACTTAAGGATCTCTAAACTTTTATTTTCTTAAGTAAAGTGGGGGTTTTCACATTTTTCTTTTTTTTATGAAAATTCATCCTTGAATTTAAATAACATACTAACTTTTGCTGAATAAGTATGGATACTTCGCTTGCATGCCATCCTCGACCTCCCAAGTAATCTCTTCACTTGAGTGGTTATGCCATTGCACCTTAACCGAGGCTATCTCTTTAGAGCGTAATGCCTTTACTTGTTTATTTAGAATGGCTATTAGACCTTCTCATAACTCAAGTCATCTCCCAATTGTAAAGACTCATGCTGGATCATGTGAGATAGACGATACTTCCATAGTACCGAAACATGTAATACCAGGTGAATGCTAGCAAGATCTGATGAAAGTGCTAGTTAGTATGCCACTACCGATATAATAATACATGTTGTAATAATTTTCTTTATCATATTTTCATTTTATTAAATTTTTGTAAGTGAGGACAAAAGCATGCCCGTGTATTAAAAATTACATATACAAAATGTTATAGTCAATAGTAGAAAGTTTTGGAATATTATAACCTAGGGTCATAATATAATGCATAGATATATAGATATCAGCACAAAACATAAAGTAATATTATGACAATTTATAATTTTGCACCATCATTGTTAAGTTAGGTACAAAAGATAGTGCATGTAAGTAGAAATTAGGATAAGTCTTTCGCGAAGTTTCACAAAAGATGTAATTGTTGTTGTTACAAAATATATAGTTGGGTAGAGTAGTGTTTTGATATTCAGCCAACATTCGAAGCATATACAAAAAAGACATAGTTATAGTGTGTAATATTACATGCCACCTCAAACAAAAGAATGAAGCATCTTCATATGTAGCTAGCAATTAAGTGTTAAGATTTTATATTAACTATAGATAAACAAAAAGTTTTAGTAATGCTACGTTTCTATCAAGGTTTTGGTTCGATGTGTACCTTGTTTGCAAACAATTAATGCCAGAATAATTAAAGAGTATCATATATTGTTTGAAATTTTTATCTCAACAACTCATAAACCAAAGCAAAAAATGTTAAAATTCTATGAGTAATACACAGCTTACATGAAGCATTGATAAAGTGTATGTGCGAACGATTAAAAAAGGTAAATTTTAACATCCATCAATACAGAATTTCATCATCCATAAAAAAGACCTATTTTTTTGCAGCTTTAAAAATGTACAGAATAATCTAATTTATTTAAAACTTCAATGTTAATATCTTAGTTATAAATCATTCATCAAAAGTGCTAGAAATGTGTGCGAATTTTGAAAATGTTGCACATTCAAATGAATATAGATATATTTGAAAATGCATTACTCATGCTTGTTGTTCGAACTATATGAAAAAAGGAGAAAATAACCTAATAACAATAAGATGAAGAACAATAAGTAAAATGAAGTTTACCATATCGTAATCCTAACCTAGTTTTGTACTTCTGAGGTGATTCTTGTCCCTGGCCGATGGTAGCACCTTTCTGAAGAGTGTTTTCTGAGAAAAGTTCCTTGGCCACTTGTGTGCTGATTGGTGATGGTAGGAGCTGCTTCTCTAGTTGTTCAATTGTTAATGGAAGTATTGACGATCCAACAATGCTTGTAGAAGTTAAGAGTGGGAGGTTCTTGGTTTGCCATCACATCACAAGTAAATAGTTTGTAATTTGAAATTCCTGTTTTAATTGCTTTTAATGTCAGACCTATTATGAATGTCCTTGTTTGATTGATCAAGGCCTCGACAGGTCCAAGTAATGTCATGCGATGGATAGTATTGAGTGTTGCAAGTTTTGTGATACTCACTTCAACTAACTTCTCTGCCACTTTACTTAACACTACCAATCCCATTTGTCCAGTGCTATCTTGCATAATTAGTTTTATGGAATATCTGTAAAATTGAATTTTAGTTTTCTACAGATGGAGATATGGAGTTGGTAACAAAATCGAAAGGTATTTATACCAGCAATACATATATTGTATAATAATAATTTTAAAATGTTTCAAACATTAACACAATGAATTATAAACATGTTTATAAAATTAATATAAAAACACATAAACTTGTGTTCATGTATATTTATTTGTTTTAATTCATTATTAAGAAGACAAAAATGATATATTAGCATATATGAGTTGTTGATAAGTTTGATATGTTACCATATATGAGTTGTGATAAAAAAATATAAGAAAAAACTTGTGATAAATCATATTTATATTTTAGACATTGATATATTAGCATATATGAGTTGTATATTTTAGATATTGATAAATTAGCATGCATGAATTGTTGATCAGATATTTTTCTTCCATTTTTAGAATCATAAACATCTAAATCATGTTAAAAAATTTTTTGGTATATATATTATTAATGTAGGCACTATCGTTTTCATGATTAAATATACAAATAATGCAATGACACCGGTAACATGTAAATGAAGTAAGCCATATTAAAAAAACAACTATTTCATGAAAAAACAAAATATATATATTTGAAAAAAAAAACATACATCTTTTGACAATTAATTGCATATATAATTAGAAGGAAAAAGAAATTATAAAATAATGAATAAAAATAATCAAAAAATGAACAATTAATGTTGTTGACCATAATTTTTTTAAAAAAAATGACACAAAAAATAATTACAGATGGTTTCCTAAGCAAAATAGGTAAATATACTAAACAAATTAAATAGAAAAGATGTTATAAGAAAAGGTTGACTATACATATCAACTGGTCCTGCAAACATAATGTTACGAGGATCTTTAAACTTTGCACAATCAACCACCTGTTTGGTTTACAAAAAAAGTAAAGAGCAGAAATAATTGTATGACGAAAGAAATTAAAAAATCCCAATAATTTTATTTTCTACTAAAAAACACCTATAATGAAAACAATAATAAATGTATAAATTGTGATTGCAAAAATTACGTAAAGCAAAGCATATAAACAAATAAAAAAGAATAAATAGAAACATAGTAGGAAAGGCCATTGCCAATACACAAGAACAACTTATGTTGATTTTAAGCAATGTAATGTTCAAAACCTTATCAAATGAACAACCTTTTACAATTCACGCAAATGCTAAAGAATAAAAATTATATATAATTCAAATGTGTAATTGTATATAAATATATAAGTATTTAATAGAAATCTCACAATTAATTTTTTGAAAAGTTAAAAGTCAGCAAAGGCATACATTTCATAAATTTATGGTTAGTTTATTTGAAAATAAGAAGATAAAAAAATTAAATCCTTTTTTTGAGAGTTTTAGATTTATAAGTTCACGTCTGTGGTTTAATTGCTTGTAGTGATTTTTTTAAAACAATAATTGTAGCGAATTAACTTGTATAAGACATTGATTTTTTGTTCTAACTTGGTTTCTTGGATGTACAATAGGTTGAATTTTTGTACAGGAGACTGATAAAGTGAAATGTTGTTCTAGCTGTAATATTGAGTTTGTATTATCCACTGTTGAGATGAAGAGTTTATTATATATTTTTCTTACAGTAGACATTTTTGGTCAATATTTTTATAGCAATACACACCCAGCTTTAAAAAAAAAAAGGAAAAAAAGTCATTGTTGTTGGATTGATGTAAAGTTTTAACCATGGGAAAATGAAGACTTTGAGAATCTGGGTTTTGGTTTTTTGAGAGTGGGATTAAGTGTTTGGGTTGGGGAATTTGTTTCTTTCATTCAATTGTTTTATTGTTTTAGTTTGTTTTTTTTTTGTTTGATTCGTACGGTAATTGAGGTTGCATCAAATTGTTTTTGTGATTTTGATTTTAATGATAATTCTGGTAGAAAGCTGAATACCCAGCTAAGCCTTCAAATATTAGATGCCAATGGAAGCTAAGTCTTGCTATAAATTTCATCAAACGTTCAATTTCATTGGAGAATATAAACAGTAAATAAAAGGGTCAAATAGATATAGAACTTATGACATGTCATTAAAAAAATAAAAACATTAACTAATTAATTGTGGAACTTATAGATCTAATATGAACATTAAATTGTTGAAAATGCATAAAAAAACTAAATGGCAAATGAATTAAGCACTATTTGATATGATGGTTTTTATGTACCGAAGAGCACATTAAAAATTAATCACAATCAGCCTGATGAAAAAGACGATAAGCTCAGGAATTATCTAAAACAAAAAAAAGTAAGTGCTTGCCGTTGGGTAACTAACGAAAATCAACAGGGAACAGACGAAGTATAAAAGCAGCACAAAATGGTAAATAAAAGATTGAGAGATAAAAGAAATAAAAGTAAAAAAACTTATAAACAACTAAAGAAATCTCTAGAAAGAAAAAGAAGTATAAGTAAAAGTAATAAAATCAAGGTAAAAACAGTTGATAGATATAGAGATCAAATGCAATTTTCAATGGAAGAAGAAAAGTTCACCCAAATTAGACGTGTTGTACTCTCAAAAAATTAATTGCAATACCCAAACCTGTAAAAGCCAAAGGTCAGCTTCCTTTTCTTAATCTCATAACTTTTTACATAACAGCAACATAACAATGAGGCTAAATATAGAGCCACTAAACAACGTGTTGAAATTTTTAAAATTAAAAAAGTTAAAAGTCAATTTTTTTTAATATTTTTTTAACTTTTCACGTGTGAGTCTAAGAGAACAAAAACGTGGCTAAATATAGAGCCGGTTTTGGATCATAGAATTGTATAAGTTATAGATGAGCCGAGTAGCCCCATGACACTGAGAAAGACCAGTTCTTTGGCCTGTGATAGCAGATTGTTTGTTGTGCCAGACGTGATTGATCAACTTTGGCAGCTTCCATGAGATGATCCATTGATTCAGTGCGGTTCTTGGAAGAGGAAAGTGGGTCTATGTTGTCAAAATGGTGAAGTGTAACAATTGGGGATTGCGGATGAGATGATAGCATGCCTGATATATCACCAAGTGGATGAATCTGCAGTGTAAAATATCACAGGAGGGAATTCTTTAGCTTGGCATCAAATGTTTTATTCCTAATTTTGTATAATTTTGTCCTTGTAAACTGTTTGAAAAGGATTCAAGCCCTTGATTTCATATGTTTAGTAGACTACATTGACCATTAGACTATCAGACTACTGTCCAGAGTAACAACTGTCATCGGTTTTTAATAGTAATATTTGTTGAGAAGCCAGAAAAGTAATCTCGCATTTCAGAAGTAGGGTTCCCTGATGAATACCTCTTTCAACGGTCAGACCAATACCCAAGTCTGATAAACACGAGAATGATAGATAATCGCTGGTATGCATGAATGGATATCTATCAAGGCAATCATCCATCAATGGCGCAAGTTCTTCTACCAGGGAATAGCTCAAAGCATATCCAGCTCCCCCATAAGCCATATCAAAGAAGAAAAGAAAGTTTGATATGACAGCCTTCGAATACATTCCAATAAAATAGTGCTTAGTATGATCACATTTTGCTTATACCTCTACTAAATTATCGACGAAAAAAAGAGTGTCATCATCTGCCATTACAAACCATCTCACATCTTTGTTATCTCCTAGTCTGAATGAATCCAAAACCGAACGGAAGATTCTTGCTTCAAATGGGTTTGCAAGCTTAGGGTATACTGCTACCTTAGTGGCATCTTCATTGACCTGAAAATGAGGAGAAGTTTCAGGCCAAGGTAGAAATTCTTCTGAGGGAGGTGAATCCAGAAAGATATTTCCCCTATTTTCATTTGGCCCCCACCAGGCTTCAGTGTATGCTCTTCTTTGCTTCCATGTTTTTAAGCTACCGACTAAAACAAACTTAATGTGGCTAACATTGGTGGGATAATCCGTAGTTATAGGTGAACTCGACCATATGACCTCAAACGGTGAGCAAAGATCAGAAGCTTTATGACAGGGAAGGTTATACAAGAATGTGTAGAAAAACGAAAGAGCTAGGCCTGGAATGACTAGGAATTTGCCTAAAGCTACAAGGACATCGAAATTTCGGCTTCATTGATTGAAAGTTGCTGGTACCTAATTTCACAATAAATTATCAAGGCTTGAGAGAAATTTTAAGATGGGAATGGGTAAAAGAAGCGTAGATTGTCCAGAATGAAGGAAATGTGCGTAGCAGAATTATGAGTTATGAGGATAGCATTGCTAGGGTGGCTAGGGGTGTATTAAGTCTTTGCTTGGCTCGATTTGCGGTGGATAGGGGAAATATTTTACAAAAGGTGGTGATAGCTCTGACGTCTTCGAGCATGGCACTACCATGGTGGTTTTGCGTTTGGAACTGATGTAGGTAGGCCCTTTCATTCCTGTCACAAGCTCTATGCATGGCCAGATTATCAGTTGTGGACTAATGGTTCTCCATCTGCAGGCGTTGAGTGGTTCTGGGTGACACGTTTTCTATATGAGTTTCTTGTGTTGCAAGCTGTGTAACGTGTCTTTGGTATTGGTGGAGTGTTTTAACGGGTGTTGATCTGTTTTCATCCTTCTTTTTATCTGTGTCTCCAGGTGTTTGTCTGTCCCAGTTCCAGCTGTTTTAGGTGGGCCGTTTCCAGCTATGTAACCTGTTTCTTGATTCTTGTCCTCTGTTTTTCAGGTAGTTTCTGAGTGGCTTATGTTTAGAAAGGTAGACGCATGCTGGGTTTCTATCTTCCATGTTACTTGATAAAACCTAATCACTTGAAGGAGCGCAAAGAAGAAAAAGAATTATGAGATATAACTCTTTGAGGAGGCTAATCAAGTGGGTTACGACCAAAATTCAGGATGACCTATATTTTCTTCAAAAGAAGAAAGTATAGAAATGGAATGTGATCCCTCATTTCAATATAGAAGGAAGAAGCTCGTTTGTTCTTCTGGTATGTAGGAAAACTAGAAAGAAATGCTCAATCCCCTTCTTATGGAATCTTAAAAAAATCGAACACACAATATGGGGAGGGGCTTGCGGATTGACTCTGTCAAGAGAGGGCAAAAAAATATAGTGTATATATTAATGAAATCCTTGAGGGAGGTCGCATCATAAAGAAAAAGCTCAGTTTGCTTCAAAGCATCTTTGACCATCCCCCACGCTAATCAAGAGCGTTTCAGAAGGAAAACAACTCAATTTTAACGTTTGGCCCCGAAAATAAATAAAGAAAAAATTAACAGAAAATTGACTTTATATCAATACATATATGAGAAAGAATCTCCAGACAAAACTTTCTTTTATAGTAAAGGTCCCTACCACAGGCATTTGAGAAGAGAATTCTCTTTCCCCCAATGGTTAGGCCACCCTAATCAGGGGCCGACGCATAAACAAGAAACTGAAAGCTGAAGAAAACTCAAACTATTCAACTGTCAGCTCAGCCATGATCTAGACAATGCAGTTGTAGTCAACCAAAAACCAAGCATGGGAGCCAAGCTTCCCATCACTCAAATATTGGGACGAGCAAACCTACTTTCATGCAACTGTGATGGGCAACACCACTAGCTGTTCCAACGTTGGAAAATTTAATCAACATAAATCACTCCAATGCAGTGTTCTCTTCATGAGCCTTCTGAATACCTACCAGTCGAGCATAGTCCACCCACCTATAGAAGCAAGTTGGAAGTTGTCAAAACTGAGATACTCTAGCCAGCAAAATGGCTATCCTAGCAAGCAAAATATTTGAAGGTTAATATAGAATCTTACAATAGGGAACCCAAGTATGTGTTGCCTGTTCGAACAGCAAAGCAAATTGCACTCAACATAAGCTTGTGCTGGTGTAGCAAAGGCTCCAAAATCCGCTGTTCTATTACACCAGCCAGCACTTGGTACCTATTCAACAAAACAAACCCTCAGCAAAATATTCCAAAATCTGACAACACTCAATTCCAAGCCTTTTCACAGCATAGAATTAGCATTTCAAACATGTTTGTTTCACAGGTAATATACATACCAACTTCAAACATCAAAACTTCTCCTGTACAGGCAGAGAAATATGCTCAAGAATGCATGTCATAAAAAATTTACAGAGGAGGGTGCAAAGTATTCTGTGACATGCAAGTGTTAAAAGTTAAAAGCTGAATATCTTCAAAGGGTTCAATATTTATTCATTTTTGAAGTGTGAAATAAGCTCCTAGAGTATTAGAAAGATGTCAGCCTCGGCAAGGCTTAAATTACTATTTAAATAAATTTAAGACAACATCAAAATGGAAAGAATATATTGAACAAAGAAAATCAAGGTACACATTAAGATTCCAACGGATTTTAAAAGTGCAAAAAAGGGGGAGTAGAAAATCATTTTGACTTCTCAATGGGTTTGGTAAACTGATTTTGTCAATATCAGTCCTAACAACAGAATATCACAGTGAAAAAAGCATCACAGATTGTGCTGACTCCCAGTTCACTAAAATAAACAACACAAAGTTCTCGTAACACAAGAAAATAAAAGTTTTAAAGCCCAAAATAAGGAAAAAGATTTATTCAAATGAAAGACTAAGATCAGAAAAGCATATTTAAAACAGGAACATATTTAATTATCTTCTATTTCTATCAAAAAGATTAAATATCCAGCTCATTTAATTTTGTATATATCAATCAAAATGTCCCAAGCAAATGCTCACAAGTATATCACAACAGATAGCGATGAGACTAAAATTTCACCAGTTGTGGCCTAAATAGAAACCATCCTTCTACTTATATCCATAACTTGGCGTAAATCAGTACAAAATAGACTTAAAACACTACATTGAAGATACCTCCCTATTGGTTTATTTTACCAAAATTCCATAATTCCAAGGAAGCATAGTTAATTTTCTGTAAGGAGAAGACACATCTATTGTTCAATCAGCATACTTAAAAAGTCTCTTACAATAGCTAAATTTAGTGCCAAACAACCCCATAGGAACATGTATAGCTAGACACATACTCAGAGATAATATGCAAAACCAATTCTAGCTACCCATTAGCCAGAGATAATATGCAAAACTAATTTTCCAGCAAGACTTCAAACTTATTAATATGTTTAAATGATTCTATACAAAAAATCAGGAAGTCAGCATCAGTCCCCAAGAGGACATCCCAATGGCTAGAAGTTAAGACTCCAACTTGGAGGTCTACAGTTCTTATCTTAGGATGGCAGAAGACCACCTCCAATTGTGTAGCCCAGCATTATCTCATACTATCAGAATGAAACACTGCAACAATAATAGTAAAAGCGGTTCCACAAGAAATAGCAAAATTCATGCCTTAGAACCATTATTCACTACAAATATTAAATCTACAAACCTGAGGTTGCTAGAAACTGCCATATATACACCATAGGCAACACTGGTGGATAGTATGGGAACATTTTCAACTTCAGCTGCAGAAGACTTATCAACAGCCTTTCTTGCATTAATCAATGCATTCGTGACAGCTGTGCCGACCTACAAGAGAACAAAGTCCATTCAATCTCAGCAAATCCACATTTCGCCTTTCACTTTGATAGAGAAAGTTGCAAGAAGCAATGATATTCTTGATAGAAACAGAAGAGATAATAAGATTTGATAAAAATTGAAAATGGAAAATAAGCTTAATTACTGTAAATGTTAGATTGCAAATAATTTTCTCAATCACCAACTATCAGGGAAAAATGTGTAAGAGCAGCCAAAAAACTTACCAGTGAAGAAGTGGTGCCTACTGCAAAAAGTTTTGCTCCATTACGCTGCAGAGCACACACAATTTAAACACAATATGATTGTTTATTCCTAACTCAGATATGCAGAAATCACAACTTTTAAAAGTTTAAAAAACGAGAAAGATCTCCTTACCATTACAGCACCTAATCTCTGCAAAAGTGAATATGAAGTCCCATGAAGAGCAACCTGCAGACAGAATTTTATGACCATAGAACAGTTGTATTTTAGCATCTTAGAAAGAAACTCTGCACAATCTCCATGCAAACTCATCAGCAAAGAAAAAAAATAGAGACCTGGAAAGCATTATCAGGGCAGCTGTAGAAGAACTTGGAAATAGCTCCAGCACTGACTGCAAGAGGAGGCCGGAGAGAGACAGTAGGAGCAGGAAGATAAACAAGCATGAAATCTGCAATTATTGCCATTACCTAGAAACACAAATTGGAAATTGAAAGTGGTGAAAATAACGTAGTTGCACATGTAATTCACATTTCACAATAATCTGTATGTTATGTGCTAATGGATCTCAGTGAAAATATACATTATACCACCACAATACTCTGAAGCTAAAAATAGCATAAATTTTCAAAAGAGAGCCTCATTGCTTCCTCATAATATCAATTTCTGATAGATTATCAATATTGCTCAGAAGAAGGTATCTATCTGCAATTAATTCTGTTGCTCATAAATAAAAAGTAGACAGATAATAATGGGTGTCAAAACACCTGATATATTTTATAGTTCTGGGAAAAGAAACAGATGAAAAAAAAGATAAGAAGGATCTTTCGTGATGTTTCTCATTAACCAACGGCCTTCATTAAACCAAAATAACAAATCATTACCTATTATATTAGTTCAGACCATTTCACAGTCCAATGAAGTACCAGAATCTGCAGGCTGCTGCTGTCTGATATTACAATCACTAAAAAATGCAAGGCACTATTCTCTAAGGAGAAATTCCTTGATCCTTTTACTGTAAAGGCAAAAATCTATCTTCTATTACTACTTTGTGTCAATTAGTGAGTTCATAAAACTAAACTCGACCAGATCTGAATTCTCAATTCTCAAGACCTAAATTCTCTGATAAAACCTTTCAGTCATGCTATTTTCCCCTTCACATTCAACAAAGCTCAGTCTCTTATCAGCCCCAGAAGAATTAGCAGCCTAGTGGAGGATAAGCATGCAAAACAACAGAAAGGTGTGGTTAAAAACTTATGCCTCTATGGTTTGGTTGCTAGTAGGACATGCATATGGGTAAAAGTCACATGTTGGTTGCTGAGGAGAATGAGAATCATTCATTCCCATTAATCTTGAACCATAAACTTCTTTACCATTCCCTCAACGGGTTCAGGAGGCAAGCTAAAGCTCAATTCCCTTGATGCATGGCCTAGAGTGTCTGCAGCAAGCCCTGAAGGAAGAGTCCAAGGTCTACAAGCTTAACATTTTAAGGCCCCTCCTGGCATTGGTCCCCAAGAGGATAGGGGCTCCCATACTCAAACCAAATTAGGAGTGCCACGGCTGGTAAGTGGTAGTCCTATCTATCTTTTTCTATTTTTAGAAAAATTATATACAATGCTTCATCTGTGAATTCAGCATTTTCATCCAATCAACCTAATGATGACAAGATTTTTGCTTTAAAAAAAAAAATAGTGCACATTCCTACCAATGCTTAAAATTTGTATGTGATGTAATTATAATTACCAATGCATATATTGAACTAATTTAGTTGAGAGTTCATAATCAAAGAAAAATTTAAGCAGGTCATAGAATCCATCTAACAATGATCAGGCAGCCGACTTCTTACCTTTTATGCGAAAAAGAGCATTAAATGGAAGCATATTAATTTTCCTTAAGTCATGAAAAGAAATTTTTTTTTGCATTTTGAGAAAGCGACAGCTTATCAATCCAGAATTTCTAAAGGATCACAATAAAAGCCTTAAAGTGGCATCAAAATTTAGCATCTTCCATGAAATCAATCTCTTTGCATAAAGACATCCTCGAAATTAATTTTTTAAGTTATCCAAACAAGTCGTCCTTGTTATTCAGACCGAAAGAAGGTTGAAAAAGTGCATATTCAAAAGAACTACTTATATGGTAAACAACCATACCACATCAGCGAAAACAATTTCGAGCTCCTTGAAAAAGTTTTCCCTGCGACGTTCATATTCTGCAGCTGTCTAGAAAACAGGAAATAAACATAAGCATATTAGTTGTTAAGATTGAATCAACAAAACTGAACAAGCCACACAGCATGGAGTACAAGAGAGACAGAGGCCATTACAGAAAACAACCCTTTAAACCTAGGATAATGCACAAGGGCAAAATTTGGGTCATGCATAACCATGGCACTTGTAGGCTCAATTGCTTAGCCTAAGTTTCAACAAAGTTGTTTTACTAGCTTACACAGGCTGAGATGCGAACTTGCCATGATTCATAGCTGGATTAGGAACATCTAATTCTAGAAAACCATATACATCCACAAGCAAGACTGATGGGCTTTGGCATGGATAAAACCTTCCAACTTGGTAGCACTTCTCCACTCCATCATTTCCTTATTTAGGCAGTTTTCTTCCCAACATACCTCTTATTTTATTGATGTTCCATCTTAAATTCTGACATAAATTCCAAAGCGAACAGAACGCAAAGTACTCCAAAAGTTTGGCTAGAATTCAACATACAGACAAATATCATAAGAAAAAAAGAAAGTAACTCCAATAAATTCTCAGTTCAGAAAGAGAAATTAAGTTTTTCTTCTTCATTTATCCAAAATATACCTACCCTCCCTACAAAATCACCCATGATTCATACTACAAAGTATATTTTACTTATTTCACAACAAATCAACCATGATAAACTACTTACAATAAATTAACTAATGAAAAACGCATTATAAGTTGTCATAGCAATACAAATGATGAAGGGAAAGAGAATAAAAAGAAAACTTTTGACAAATTCGAACCCAATTTTTTTAAAAACAAATGAATAAATCTTCACCACCGATTCATATCATCATCAGTACTATTAAAAAAGAAAAACCAAAACTCAAAACGCAAAAGTAAAAAAAAAAAAAACAAACCTTTGTGAAGATCCCAACCCCACACTCCATGGCAACTTTAGCTAAGAAAAGATCATCAGCCAAAAGCCTTTCTTTAAACCCACCAAACTGCATCAACCACCGCATAAGCCCCGATTTTTCAAGCCCCAAGAACCTCTCAATAACCGACCCAGGAATCCTCCCAGCTTGGATCGCCACCGCCAAGTCCTTCGGTAAACTCTCCACTGACCTCCCAGCCTCTGCCAGCAAAACCATCGCCTCTTCCCTGTTCTTATCACCCGCATTTTCATCACCACCCTTGCCTCTTCCATTGTCATTGTTTCCACCGCCACCACCTGAGTTGTTGTTGTTGTTGTTGTTGTTAATGTCGCCACCATCGCCTCCGGGAAGGGTGGAGTAGGCTAAAAATTGGGGGGTTGGCGGTGGCGGAGACTGGTGGTGTAGGAGGCAGAGGAAAGGCGGAGGTGGAGGTGGAGAGGGAAAGCGGTGGAGAGTTTTGGGGTGGTTTGAGGGTGAGGAGAGAAGGAGGGGGACGGGGTTACGGTCAAAAGGCAGGTGGCGATGGACATTGTTGCGGTGGCTGGTGGTGATGGGTTTGTGTCAGAGTTTGGAGTGTATTTTCCTTACGTTATTTTCAGAGTATGTGTTATGGTTTGTTGCTTTCTCGGTGGGCGTTAGTTTTCCAATATGAGGATCTGAGCAGCTTCCAAAAGGGCTTTTGTCCGCAATTCAACTCTAGGGTTAAATTCTTTCATACTCTCTTTTCCTGCCCTCTGAAGTTCACGCTCCTCCCTCTGTTCACGATTTTATCAAGAAAAGAAAAAATAATACTTCTTTCTTTTATCAGACAAAAAAATTGCTATTCTACGCTATCAAAGAAAAATATTAATAATATTACCAAAAAGGCACTAAAGGTTTTTTTTGTGGTCTGTGTGATCAAGTTGACCTATTTTTGTATTTTGTGACACCGATGAAGTGTCATATTATGAATCTCCATATATTCGTTATAACATATATTTGTAGATATTTACACTCATGCTTATGAATAAAACAATCAAATTTTTTAGATTAAAATAGATAATATATTTTTTCAATTGGAGTTGAATTTCCTACATTATATAAATTTTCATTACAATTTTATATTCGAATTTTACAAATTGAAAGATATGATTTATATAATGAGAAAATTATTTCTCTTTATAGTTGAACATCAATTAATTCGATATATACCGAAAAAAAAGTGTCTTTATAAATAGAAGGACTAGTTGTTCTTAGTAAGAAAAGACAGTTAAATATTTAGAGAAATTCTGGAGATTTATATTCAAATCTTGAAAAAAGAAAAGAAATTTACAATATAGAAGAGGTTCTCAATTTTTTTTATAACACAAATTTCATAAGTTGCTTATAATTCATGAAATTTAATAAATTTTTTTATACCTCATTCTATTTGGTATGAAATTTTGGAAGGGTTTTTTAATGATATCCCTAATTAGGCAAACTAATGCCATATTGGAAATTTTAATTTTCAATAAAATGATATATCTCAGTTTTAACAACAAAATCATTTTTAATTTTATTCTAAACCTTGTATTTGATATTTGATGAAAATAAATTATGACAAGTCAATGAATCTCGTTTTACTAATACAAAAACGATCTTAAAATCTCATGTTTAAATTTCAACTTGTGTGAATTTAGTCTAATTTTATGTTGAATTTGTCCATCTATATATTGGTTTAATAATTGATTTGTATTTAATCAATAATTTTTCATATGAAATATAATACTTAATTATAATTATTATTTTTACTTATATTTGTAACTTCATAAAAAATGAATGGAGACAAATTGACAATGGTTATAACTGAAAACCAATACAACAATAACTAAAAATCACTACTATCAAGTAAATTATAAAGTAAGTTTGTTTTATAAATAGTTTTATAATGTAAAAATCATTAAAATATGATAAAAAAATTCAGCAGAAAAATGATTATCCAAATAATAAAGAATTGAAATTTTTTTTTAATAAACAAGAAATCAATATTAATTTACTTGAACTTCTATATATATCCCTATATATCATTAGCTAGTTTTTTTATTTATAATAGACAGAAGAGGAATTCGAACTCTACTCTTTATATAGAAAGATCATACATTAACTAATAAAAAGATCATATATCAACTAATACGTCAAACACTCAAATACCCTTTATCATTGATTAGGTATTTTTATAGTAATAATTTCTTACTATTGTTAAAAATAATAGAAAAAGTTGACAAAATTTACTGTAATATAACAGATTGGGGCTCTATCTTTTTATTTTATGGTGTAGATTGTAGCTTATAAATTTGAATTTATTTTTTTTTCTTGGAGATTTACGATAATTTGATGCTTTCTTAAGTTTACTACTAATATAATAAAA